TGAATCAAGACGGTCATGGGTTGGTTTGTAGAGGTCCAAGTTGGTGGACAAAGTGGTGCTATAACACTCATGAGTGCTCATAAGTTCTGAAGTATTGGATTCAACCCGCGCTCATTTGAATCACTTCATGGATTTATCACGAGTGGATCATGAGACGATAATATCTTATATTCTTCAACCTAGAGATATGAGTTTGGTACTATGAGTTGTTATACATTGATTGCACGAAAACGCATTTGGTAACTCGATGTTATAAAACGTGCTTTGTGTATGATTCAACAAGTAGTAGAACAAGCCATATGAGTCGAAGTTTATCCATTCCTATTACCTTCGGGATAAAAGCGATATCTGTGGGCCCCTCGATGATTAGTGATGGACACATGTGAGTGCTTGGCCAAGCCAGGACGATTTGATTTGTTCAATCAGTCAGTCATCATAAATCGAAAATCGGGAAACAACAAATGGACAGAGAGAATGATATAATCCATGTTCAGTCCATATGATATCTAGAATGGAGGAATATATGATCCCTTATCTAATGGACAAGTCATTGACAAGGTCAGAGTTCGACAGCGGCTTTAAGAGCTACGATTGCCAGTTAGGTTTTGAAGTCATACTCAATAATAGTTTTAAACTTATCCAAGTGGGCGACTGTTGGATTAATGTCTAAGTCCAAACGATATTTGATGTACTTGACCCGACCCGACATGGTCCATTTGGGTTGCACTTCACCGGGCAAATTTATATGGATAGTCTTTTGAGATCGTATATTTATGATTTATATTAATATATTATAAGTTCTAATATATTAATAGGAATCATATTATTTAATTAGTATTGATCAAGAATTAATTTAGAATTAATTAAGTGATGAAAAAGAACTAATTAAATATGAACTCTTATATATATGGAATGGGCCAAGTTCATTTAGGTTGGGCTAAGCTTTCATGGATGGTCCATGGAACTTTTAACCCATGGATCCTATGTAAATGAAAGGTCATGGGTATTAGGGTTTACATGGATGTAACCCTAATCCTCCATAATATATAAAGGGGTCATTGGCTCACAAAATTGGCACAAGTGTGTGAAAATAAGAGTGGGCCGATTTTAGTGTGCATACATATTCTCTCAAGTTCTTCCAAGGTGTTTTGGTGATTTGTGATTCCATTTGAGGCTTCCACACTATTGGGGCTACTCTTAACGCTTGAAGACATCAACTACATCAAAAGGTATGTCATCTAACTAGAACTTTGTAGTCTAGGTGCTTCATAATATGCTAGTTAGGATGAAACCTTGGAATAGTTAATATTTGCATGTATAATAGAGAAAACATAGATCCAAGGTTTATAGGGTTGCATGTACACCATAAGAGTGTTAGAATGCTCAAAACCCAACACGAGCCTCCTCGGTAGTCAGCTGAAAGGCGCGACTCTTCACCGCTGGAGCCTCTGCCTTAACAGGACGGCCATCGGTAATCCTCATCGTGGAGGTCCAAAAAAAACCAAAGGGACAAAACTAGAAAACCCTAGCTAGATTTAGAGATTAAAGTGGAAAGATGCAAGCTTTATTCCTCTAGAAGCTCCTCAAGGTCGAAAATATTCAGATTCTTGAAGTCCAAGGCCACTCCAAGCTTGCTTGCCAACCTCCTCTTCTTGAATGAACACTAAAAGGGCCACAAATGCACTATTAAAGCTCAAAATGCACTCACAATTGATATTAGGGTTTCCAGAGACGTTTGAAGGTGAAGGAGGCTGTTTAGGGTGAGGCTCAAATGAGTTAAGCGTGTATATATATGTCTCATGTCCGAAAATTAGGGTTTGGACATTCGGCACGTAAGCCCAACGTACTTAAGGGACCAATATGCTAAAAATGAAGTTTCTTCAAGGGTTTCAAGTCGTACCTGGATTGGGGTGTTACAATATTTACTTGTTTCTTAGATTACTAGGTGTAAAACCCGTGTATTACACGGGTTAATTAAAAAAAATAAAATATTAAAATGTAAATAATAAGTATTTTTAAAAATAAAATTTTGATATAAAGAATGAAATTTTGAAATACGAAACATATTAATTGCAATTTAGTATAATATTTATTACATTTGATAGTTTACATATATAAGTAATTATGTGGTTTTTTAATTTTAAAAATTGAAAAAAATCATAAATTGACATGTAGATATTATTTATTTAAAAAATATCACAAAATGACAAGTGTGAAAACTCATTAGAGATTGACATGTGGCAAAATTATTTTCATTTATTATAGTAGATTTTATAAATTTTATCTTGATATTACTAAAATATGTTGATAACACTAGAATCACATGAAATTATTACATTTATAAAAATTTTTATAAATTTTTATATATTACATTTATAAAAATTTTTAAACAACTTGAATTTTCTAACCTTTTTTTTTTGCTTGGTAGCTGGGTTTCTATTTTTCAACTCCGTCTGTCTCACATTCCACTCAACCTGGCCATCATCATCCCTATAAAAACCGAGTCTAGTGCGATGCGAGTGCATTTGCGCTCGTTTTCTCCGCGTTTCATCACTAATTGCTGCTACTTCTCAACTACTATTCAGTTCACTACGACATCCATGTCTTACCGCCCTAATGCTCAAGGCGGCCGTCGCGGTGGCGGTCGCGGAGGAGGTCGAGGAGGTGGTCGCCGTGGTGGCGGTGGTGGAGGTGGAGGTGGAAGAGGTGAACAGAGATGGTGGGACCCTGTTTGGCGTGCTGAGCGGCTTAGACAGACGCAAGGCGAGGTTGCATTCATTTAGGTTTTTGTTTCCGTTTTACAGATGAACTTGATCTCGTTGCTAGGGTTTTACATTTTGAATGAAATCATCAACAGCTACTAATTTCTAAACACCTATAAATACATGCTTCTGATGATAGAATGATGATATGATGATTGTCAGGTTGAGGCTTTTGATAAGAACCACTGGTGGGGAAAAATGGAGCAAATGAAGAGTGGGGGAGATGTAGAGTTGATAATAAAACATTTCTTCAGTCGAGGCGATCAACAAACCCTCTCTGATATGGCATATCAGCTGGGACTTTATTTGTAAGTACTGCAATTATTTGTATGAATCGTTTAGTAATTAACCTTGTTCTCAAAACAACCAAATATCTCCAATGTTATCCACATTCTACCTTACATTACTGTTTTCGTATTTTCTTTGTGCAAAGAAAGCCATGCATACAACAAAGGCAAGGCACTTGTGGTGAGCAAAGTTCCATTACCAAACTACCGTGCAGATCTTGATGAGCGCCATGGATCTTCACAGAAAGAGGTACTACAACTACAACTACAAGCTAGTCTTTGTATACATTTTGACCTCATTCATATTTATGCCAAATCTATTTTATAGATACATATGTCTACAGAAACCGAGAGAAGAGTTGAGAATCTATTGGATAGTTCAACAGCAACTGAAAAAGTTAACAACTCTTCTACCACATTCATTCAAACTGCCAAACAATCACCCTATGAATCAGATAAAAGTACTGGAATCTCAGATAATGCTAAGAAGGCACTTAGCATTGAACTCAAAGAAAGACAGGAAAGACAGAAGGAATCTGATCGTGTTAAGGCAATGTGCTTATTCAGAGAGAAGCTTCCTGCACATAAAATGAAATATGAGTTTCTAAAAGCTGTTGCAGAAAACCAGGTTTTAGTGGTTTCAGGGGAAACAGGTTGTGGTAAAACCACACAGCTTCCTCAGTTCATTTTAGAGGAAGAAATATCATCTCTACGTGGCTCTGAGTGCAATATTATCTGCACCCAACCCCGCCGTATCTCCGCCATATCAGTAGCTGCTCGAATAGCCAATGAGAGAGGAGAAAACCTCGGTCAATCTGTTGGTTATCAAATTCGCCTAGAGTCAAATCGCTCTGAACAAACAAGATTATTATTCTGCACAACAGGAGTTTTGCTTCGAAAACTGGTACTCTGATTCTTTTCACATTTTCCTTGAATTTAATAACATAAATTGTACATTTTAAATTTCATCAACTAATATAATGTCTTCTCTGTAATGCTGATTTGTAGGTTCAAGATCCAAATCTAACAGGAATCAGCCATTTGTTAGTTGATGAAATTCACGAAAGAGGAATGAATGAAGATTTTTTATTAATTATTTTACGCGATCTTCTCCCTCAACGTCCAGATTTACGCCTTATATTAATGAGTGCTACTATCAATGCTGACTTGTTCTCCAAATATTTTGGAAATTCCCCAACCATTCATATCCCGGTATTACTTTTTTCTCAATCTTCTGGAATTTTTAGCCTTCAACATTTACTTAAACATGACATTATCACATTAATCAATCTATTCCATTATATTACAGGGATTGACATTTCCTGTGCAAGAACTATTTTTAGAAGATGTACTGGAGAAAACCCGTTATTCAGTGAAATCTGAGGCTGATAATGTTCAGGGTTTTTCAAGGAGGAGGAGGAGACAACAAGAGTCCAAAACTGATCCCATTACTGAGAAATTTGAGGCATGATTATATTTTAGTGTTTATGATTGATTCAGTGCTATAAAACTTATTGAACTTAATTTTGGTGTTGTAGGAAGCTGATATCAGTTCTGTATACAAAAGCTACAGTGCAAACACTAGACAATCTCTTGAAGCTTGGAGTGGTTCAGAAACAGACTTGGGTTTAGTGGAAGCAACCATTGAGTATATCTGTAGACACGAAGGTCCAGGGGCAATTCTAGTATTTCTCACAGGTTGGGATGAAATCTCAAAGCTTCTCGATAATGTCAAGGCTAACAATTTTCTTAATAATCCCACAAAGTTTCTTGTCCTCCCTCTTCATGGTTCTATGCCTACCATGAACCAACGTGAAATCTTTGACCGACCTCCTTCTGGAACAAGGTACATCTTTGACTGTTTGACTTTTCCTACTATTTTAATCAATTCATATTGTAAGAAATTGTATTTTTTTTTTTCAATTGTTTTGCAGAAAAGTTGTTTTAGCAACAAATATTGCTGAGAGTAGTATAACTATAGATGATGTGGTTTATGTTGTGGATTGTGGAAAAGCAAAAGAGACAAGTTATGATGCTTTAAATAAGCTTGCGTGTTTGCTTCCATCATGGATATCAAAAGCTTCATCACATCAGGTCTCACTTTAGGAAAATTTTATTAAATGTTTTAGAGTAAATTACATTTTTGGTCCCTGAATATAGCAGGGACCAAAAACGTAATTTTATGGGTTGCTGATGTGATGTTTGGGTGGTGATGACAGAGACGTGGGCGGGCGGGTCGTGTACAGCCTGGCGTATGTTACAGATTGTACCCAAAAATGGTGCATGATTCCATGCTTCAATATCAACTACCTGAAATTCTTAGAACACCATTGCAAGAGCTTTGTTTACAGATAAAAAGTTTACAGCTTGGAGCTATTGGATCTTTTTTGGCTAAGGCACTTCAGCCACCTGATGCTCTTTCTGTTCAAAATGCTGTTGAACTTTTGAAGACTATTGGGGCTTTAGATGATAGAGAAGAGCTCACGCCACTTGGACGCCACCTGTGCACTCTGCCTTTAGAGCCAAATATTGGGAAAATGCTTCTCATGGGGTCCATTTTTCAATGTGTTAATCCTGCTTTAACAATTGCTGCTGCTCTTGCGTATCGGAGCCCGTTTATTCTTCCAATTAATAGGAAAGAGGAAGCTGATGAAGCAAAAAGATCCTTTGCTGGTGATTCATGCAGGTATTTATTTTTTAATCTCTTACTGAATATGAAATGGTAGCAAAATAACATATAACAATCATTGAATCATTTTATTATCTTTTATTTTTTAACTACACATTATATCAAAAATGACTTGTGCTTTATATACCATTTTAAATAGATGATGATAGATATCTAATTGTTAAAGAAAAAACTACAAAAAAGATTTCCCATTGGGGAAAATATATGATGATAGGTTTTCGTTAAATAAAGTTAGTGGGAAGCGGATGTTACAAAAATAGTAAAGCTATTATAGAAGTCAACAATTGTAGATGCTCTAATCATCCTGTATACATTGGTACTTTGCTTAATCCAAAAAGCTAGAACTTTGCTTCTACATACCTAAAAACATATTTTCATTTTGAAAACAAGGGTTAGGCTTAATATAGTATAGGGTAATCTCCAAAAAAGTCCTAATATTTTACCCTAATTTATGAAAAAGTCCCAAACTAAAATTTGTCTACGATAAAACATGAATTACCGGTAAAAATGACGATTATACTATATATAGCTATATACTAAGTATTGTATAAAATAGTGATACTAATAAGGAAGATAAAGGGGGATTAATATGTAAATAATTAAATAATATATGAATAAAAATAAAACATGGTCAAACAGTGAGGCAATGACTAATACCTAATAAATATTAAATAGAGACAGGTGCTGGAGCAAAAATAAATAAAAGAAACACATTCTAGATATCATATACAAGTATGCAACTATTAGATATAAAATATTTGCAGTGGAATATTGACTAAGAATACTAGATTAGGTCAAACTACTAAATATTATATTCTAAATAAAAAACCCTATTAAATAGTAATACCTACTAAATCTTATAAACTAAATACATCATATGGATATTAAAATACTTGCTAGGTAGTCTGTCTTGACTAGAAAAAAATAATAAATAAACAATTATGGATAAATAAGGAGAATAGCTGGGCAACAATCATCATCTGACACTTTGAGAGTTGACAAACACAAATATTCTAATCATGTCCAACACTAAAAACACACAAATCCTTACATCACAAAACGACATTGGCAATTGCTCAATTTTCATAATTTAATTTTTTTTTCCTTCCAAATCTTTGATTTCATCCATTATATTAAACTAATTATTCATGCAGTGACCACATAGCTCTTCTTAAAGCATTCGAAGGGTGGAAAGAAGCGAAACGTTCCGGAAACGAAAAATCCTTCTGTTGGGAAAATTTCTTGTCAGTTCAAACCTTAAAAATGATAGCTGACATGCGTCTCCAATTTCTCGACCTCCTTTCCGATATCGGCTTCATAGATAAATCCAAGGGCGCAAATGTAAATTCCCATCATCATCATTTTCAATCATTCCAACTAAAACATAATCTAATTTACAATGTCCGTTTTCTCAGGCGTATAACCAATACAGCGATGACATGGAAATGGTGTGCGCGATACTATGTGCTGGGCTGTACCCGAATGTGGTCCAATGTAAAAGAAGAGGAAAACGAACAGCTCTTTACACCAAAGAAGTTGGAAAAGTCGATATTCATCCAGCTTCTGTGAACGCTGGGGTCCACGTTTTTCCTCTTCCTTTCATGGTATACAGTGAAAAAGTGAAAACAAGCAGTGTGTATATTCGTGATGCCACAAATATATCGGACTATGCTTTGCTTATGTTTGGTGGTAATCTTGTTGAAACCAAAAATGGTGATGGGATTGAGATGCTCGATGGATACCTTCAGTTTTCAGCATCCAAGAGCGTGATGGGATTGATTAAGGTAACGTATACTTCGTTGTTTTTTTTTTCTACAACAAATTAGAGATTACTTCTTTCTTTTTTTTTTTTTTTTTTAAAATTGGTATTGATGGAATGTTGCAGAAATTACGAGGCGAAGTTGATAGGTTATTGAATAGGAAGATTGAAGATCCGAAATTGGATGTTAATGTTGAAGGGCAAGGAGTTGTTGCTGCACTTGTTGAGTTGTTGCATAACCAGAATGTTCGCTATTAATTATTAAGCGAGCATTCGTTTTTGTTTTCACAGAGTTTCCATTCCTTTCTAGATATCATCATATACCCAACCAACTTGACAGTGACACCAACTCGTTTGTTCTTTCCAACTGTAACTTTTATTTTAAATCTTATAATTGACGTTTAAAAATAATATATTTTAAACCCAATTGTATTGGTCTTAATCGGACCCATTCTCATTTCTCAATCTCAACACCGGTCTAGACTCAAGACTCATTACTGCGCCTAATAAATAACCAACGTGGGACAAACTCAAGTTGGACCGCTCATTACTAACTAGTAATTGAGTAAATAGTAACACTACCCATACCATGGGCCATGCTTGGACCGGTTCTCATTTCTCAATGCTGAAATTTAAAAGTTTCTCTACATATGTACAAGAAAAGTTATTTTTTTTTGTCCAAAACCGACATTTAAAAAAAATGTGTATATCACAATTCAAATATATCCATGGTTAATCAACATACCTATAAGATTAGTTTTTATTATCAATCCAATCATAGATTACCATCATCTTCAACTTGGTTTAACACTTTTGATTGTCTTGTCGGACAAACTCTTGATATTTATTGATATTTATTGTTGTTGTATTGTAACTTGGAAGAGGGGGTGATAGCATATATTTTGCATAGAAATTGTGTTATTCATGTAGCTCTTTAAATTTTTGAATGTTATTTTATTTATTTGAGAGTGATAAACTCAAACATCCATCTAATCCTACTCCTAACATTATGTTTGGCGTGTCATAACCTAGATTATAAACTAACTTAATTTTTAGTTTTTTTTTTATGTTGTCATCTTTGACAAATTAAACAACAGTTTATAAGCTAGTTTTTTAAAACTATTCAGTGTAGCTTTTTACCTAAAACTTTTCTAAAATTCTCTCATATATACCTTTAATTAATTATAATAAATATTTTTTTTCTACATGTCTTTATATATTATTTTATATTTTTCAGATAGTTTATCAGTTTGGTCACCAATGATCAAACATTATTTTTTATCCGCTAGCTTATTAGATATCAACTAGTTTTTCAGCTAGCTAGTATGCTAAACATAACTTAATTCTACAACTTTTGTCCATCACATGACTTGAACCTCAAGCATTTACAAGCATTTACAGAATGGGAAGTGACATATTTTCAACATAATTGATACCCTTAGATCAATTGCTTTTTGATGTTCAAGTTTATAGTAGTTTAGTCCATTTCTTAAATGATGTTTACCGTAAGATATTGAATTTTTATTTTTGTAAAAAAGAGAATTAAAATCAATAGATTGTGTTGATAAGACTTGAGACTAATGATAAACAGCATTTAGTATGTTCAACAAGAAACAATAAAATTATAAAAACATGTGAACTGTGAAGTATAGAAGGGGTAGTCCAAAGGCCGAGTCCAATTCAGCCTGATCTTCTTGCATGATTTCATCTACCATTTGAATTTTTTACCAAATCGATATTCAAATATTGTGGATTTTCTAAGATGATAAAAGTTCGATTATTTTATTAAAATATATATTTTGTTCCAGAATTTCGTCTTCCCATAATTTATTCAAGGCCTACATGGATGCTACATTTAACTACCCTCTTTTTGTTTTCTTTATTAATACATATTAATATTAATTAAATAAATATTTGATAATACTTCCGGTGGGTGTTGGCTAGGATTGAGTATTTGACCCGGTCAGCGAAAAAAAATTGAACCAGAACCAGATCCGAACCGGGGTATTCAATCCGGTTCAAGCCGGGCCTCAGTGACGGAGCTTGAAGTTATGATTTGGGGGGCCGAAAATAGAATACGTATAAAAATTGAAGAACAGGGGGGCCAAAGTCAAACTTTATAGTTTTGGGCATAATATGTAACCTTTTTAATACTTATGAACTATATATAAAAAAAATTTGGGGGGCTGTCCCTATATATGCTCCGTCCATGTCGGGCCTGAAACCGAACACATTCATAAAGAGCACATTTACTTGTTGAACCGAACTAGAATTGGGATGTTCAGTCCAGTTCCCGGTTCTTCATTTCCCATTAAATCGATTCTCGGTTCTTCGGTTCTTGGTACGGTTCGGTCCGGGTTCGGATCGATGCTCATCCCTCGTGTTGGCTACAAACGTGGCCGTATCATATTATCATTATTATGCCCTTTCATTTGCAAAGATTGCTTTATCAGGCGTCGTACTCTTCTGAAATTAAAGAAAACATTACCCCCACCCCCTTAGAAGCACCTTTACAATTTTTATTCTAATAATTTTTCGATTTTCCATTGGTTATTAGATGAGGAGTAGTCGACACATTTCTTCGTCTTCATCTCATCCATATCTTCTCTTTGGTGCTTATATATCTGCTCCATTTAGCTTCAAAATCTTCTTAGTTACAAATTTATCTATAAAATATCAATTCAAAGCATAAGTATCATTTATCTTAAAATATATCAAATCATAGCTGAAAATACTAAGATATTACCCAAAATGTATATACAAATAAAGCTATATCAATAGTGCATTGGTTAAATTCTTTAGCATGTGACAAAATTTAGTGATAGATGTCGTTTCCTTCTTGGTGTTCATGAGCAGATTGTAGTTAAAGAATTACAAACATCTTATTGTTCAAGAATTCATTAAATTTGTCCCATAAATCCTTTGTAGTGCAATTACCAGTGGAAATTATTTGAAGTAAGTTTGGTTCGTAAGTAGAGTAGAACCAAGTTTTGACCAGCGAGTCAATATATTCCTAATCTTCAACATGTTCCCCGAATGGTTTTGATTTTACATTGAGATGACCCATCACTTTTTCACCTTTGCAAATATCCAAAAAGATTAATTCGACTGTATAGTTTGTACTTAGATCCATCAAGTGACAGTTTAAAATTAAAATGAGAATGCACATTAGTCATTGCATAGATAAGGTGATGTGATGATGGAGTAGTAGTATAGTCTGTGTTGGGAGTGGTCATGGCAAAAACAAAAAGAAAAAAAAAAGGAGAAATAAAAGACATAAACAATGCTAAGAAGTAGAGGTGAGCATTTGGACTAGACCGATTTTAGAGAAATTGGTGGACCTTGGACCGGACCTGTTGAGGCTTATTAGGTCCAGGTCCAGCTCCGGTCTGGTTTCCGGTTCTTAGACGTAAAAGTGAGCATTTGGACCGGACCGAACCGAACCGAACCGGACTGAATATTGGACCAGACATGTTTTGTAGAAATTGATGGACCTTGGACCGGAACTACGTAGGTCCAGGTCCTGAGGTCCGCTTACCATAGGTAGAGATTACTCATCTCTAACCCTTTGCGAGAGTTGTGAGTATGAAGGTTGTGTAATGGTCGGAGAAACGTTGTAGAAGACTACATAAGGAGTCACTGTGAATAGAGATGCAGCAGGAAGCAAGCAACAATGACATTGAGTAAAGTAAAGGTGTTGTCGAGTAGCAACAAATCGATGGCAGATCGGAGAGAACGCGTGAAGAAAAGAAATCCGACCTTTAAGAGAGACACAACTGATAACCCTAAGAACAATGACTTGATACCATGCCGAATTGTGCAAAGACCGCTAGGACATTCCATTGCTATAATTAATACAATAAGTTAGAAAAGGAATCCTATATATAGATACAAACATAAATAAAATTACAATTTCAATCACGGGAAAGTAATAGATCATAACCATTTTTATTTATATTTTCTTGCTCTATGATTTCAAAAATAAAAAATTTCTCGTCTAGGATGGGTATGAAACAATTAAATTGTAGGGTATGCAAAAAGAATTTTTCCAAACCCTAGAATGCATCTTTAGAATCTCACTTGCACTCTCCTTCGTCTTCCTTCCACAGTCTACTTGCAGCGCCAAACACAATTTTCCGACCACCCCCAACTGCAACATCTCTTGCAGAACACTTCTGTTGCCGGAGGATTTCGCTACCGAATGCAAGATGCTCACCGCCTTCTCGCTAGCCAAAGATGACACTCGGAAGATCTTCTTGGAAACCACCGCTAATCCACCTCCATGTTTCAACAGCTCCGATCGTCCTTCTGCGCACTGACAAAGTTGGTCTAGAACCACAATAACCATCTCCGAGACTCTCTTTTCTGTGCAATCCAGGAGGATGTCGATCAGCACCTGAACCGCCCCTGCCTCCGCCGCTTTCATCCTGTTCCGCCCCCATGGACAGACGTTGATGAGTAGCTTTAGTGTTGCTTTTGTGGCTTTCCGGGAGATTTCATCCACCAAGATTTGTACAAGCACAATGAAGAAACGAGGGTTTAATGACGTCACTTTCATGGGCTCCGCCACCTCTAACATCGCTTTTAGTAACATGACGGCGTAAGCACGTGACTCGTAACTGGTGGCGCGTTCCCTCACACGCGTCAACGTCTCAACGAAATCTCCAGTCTTTCCGAACAATGATTTAAGACTCATTGGTGACAGGTGAAGGTGGTGAAGAATGCTTAGCGCTTCGTCTGCTCCAGTCGAAATAAACTCGTCGACACCATAAACGTCTCCGGCCGGTGGTGATGACGTCATTTTATTATCCACGTTGGTTAAGATCCACGCAAGGTAATCAGCTGCACCTACTGATTCCATCAACTTTTTGTTCTTTTCGTTCTCCATAACAATCGTTTTTAACTTCTTCAAACACTTCATTTGCAGGTGAGGAGACTTTGAAGAAGAATCCTTCAAGAGTTTTACGATTTCGGTTTTGGAGATCGGAAGCCGTGGTGTTGGGAATGTCCCGATGCCAGACGACGGATTAAGGGTGCTCCATGACTGGATCAGTCGCAGGAGGGTGTGGTTCGGTGTGAGCTCAATATCAACGACGACTTGTTTGGTTACCGGACAAACTTCATTCTTCTGAGAAAACAACCATTTCTCGATGCAATCACGATCATATGTGATCCCTGTAGAGAGAGTTACAGGGTCTTTCATGATCTCAAGCGAAATTGGACATATAAAAAAGCGAGGAACTTGGACATCTTGTTCAAGATCAGCCATTAACGAATCAGGAATTTGAAGAATAAGTTAAAGAGATCGGAAAGAATCAGTTTTTGTTGTGAAGTTATCACGAATATCGATATGAATGATGCCAAATAGTGAAGAGAACTTGGTTTTATACCAAAAAGATATTAATTTTGCTAAAGAAAGTCAACACACGCAAATATTTTGACTTTTCAAAGAGAAGTTAGAAGCTCAAAGAGTGGGAAAAGTGTGTTTGTGGAGTGTGTGTAAGCATAGAATTTGCATTTTTAATCCTTTTAACTTAAATCAATTCTCAAAATAAGTTCAACCTTTCCTCCTGGAAAAGTAATCCTGGTATTTTATAGGGAGGCGCAAAAACGAACCTGCGAACCGAAAAACCGAAAACAAAATAGAAACTGACAGTTTGAGTTTGAGCTTTTTAAAATCGAAATATCGGGTTTTGTTTCAGGTTTAGAATATATAAAAACCGAGAAAAACCAACCGAAGAATTTTATGAAGCATATATATTCTGTGAAATATATACCTATCACATTGCTTATGAAAAATTAACTTTAAGCCAGGAGACAATAAAAACATGTATTTACTTATAGTTTCGTTGTTGATTTGGAAATTTAATACAAAGTGTGCAATATTTGAATATTTTTTTTTCTTAATGGGTTAGTGGGGGTGCACTGGTGCTGTTTAGATGAAACTCGTTGTCTGCCAAAGTGCCAAGCGCCAGGTGTTGATAGGCAGTAATTCTCTTTTGACTTTTCTCTCTCCTAGGGTCAACTGTTTTTCATAACCGACTTTTCTATTTTGAATAAAATTTAAAATATTTAGTAACATTTAAAGCTAAAGTTGAACAAATATCAAATATAATAAGATGTATTATTATTGTCAATGAGATTTTGAATACTTCAATGATTTATCAAGTAATACATCTGTAAAACTATGTAACAATTAATGTCTTCTTTGTCATACTATAAACGTATTTTTTACAAATATATTACCAAAACACGATATAGCTCTTCAGAAATGTATGGAAAGTTAAATGTTAGAACGTATCAGATATTGCAATTTGAGTGTTAGTAAAATGTTAAACTACCAACACAAAATTATATATTTCTATCTCTTAGATTTTAGCATTGACAAATAATATATATTCCTTCTGGACCTATGACAATTGACACCATAAGGCCACGACGTTCAACTAATTAACATGTATATAATCTAGCATTTTAACATAGGCTCAACGCCACCACAAACTTCAGGTCAATTAATTAAGCTGACCCGTAGTAAATATTTAATATAGTAGTGACATCAACTTGTTAATTTTGTTCATAATTGACTTCTTAAAAATCAAAATATTTATTTTCTAGACAATTGGATTGGTCTTAATCGGACCCGTTCTCAATCTCAACACCGGTCTAGACCCATCATTGGCTTTGCTCCTAATAAATAACCAACGACAAACAACGTGATCAGTTTAAGTTAGACCGGTCATTTCTAAATACCCATGGCTTGGACCGGCTTTCGATGCTTAAATTTTTAAATTAAATTCCACTCAACAAATTCGCAAAAGAATAATAGGGTTATTTTTTTAACATCCTAAAGATTAATATATAGAAAAGACTAGCAAAAAGCTAGTAAATAACTACAAAGTTTAAATCAACATTAGTTTTTCTAACCAAACAACCCAATGAACATTAAACCCAGGCCGTACTAGATGTTGAGCAATAGGGCGACCGTCCATAATCCATCTTTTAAAGGGGCCTAAATTTTTTATCGACGATCGATCTTGAAGATATCATTAATAATTTTGCATCTCAAAAAGCTAGAAGAAGTATTTTTCTTTAAATATATGGATTTTTGTAATAAAAAATGTTATATTTAGAAGTTAGTATAAATAAATTTCTTTCAATTATTGAGTTGTTATAAAAAAAGTTAATGAAATTTGTGTACTTTAAGAGCTTTTTTTTCTCTCTCGTCCATGGCCTAAAATATGTTTGAAACGACTCTGATTAAACTTACAAAACTAATCAGAGGAAAAGCAACTAAAAGAATTCGAAATAATACTTTCCAAAGTTACTCATTTTTCAAAGTCTCTGAACCAATTAATATATTATTGCATTTCGTTAATTCCATACCGACCACCACTTTATCATAATAATCACCTTCGACACTTTCTTTCGCACCATGGTGAGTCTTAATGAATCTATCCAATCGAACATTTCGGTAATGTAATAGAAAGTGGGGCGTTGCAAATCACACCACTTAAAAATACAATGTCTAACTTGAGTAGCAACAGTACAATCAATAAAAAGGCGGGTCACATTTTCTGTACTTGAATCACAAGAGGGACAAAGAACTGAGGGGATGTCAATATTCTTTCAAGTAAATAATCTTAGAGTGAAGGATTTGGTCATATTGTGCAGCAACAATACAATCAATAAAAAGATGGGTCACATGCTGCAAATGTTAAATAATCTTAGAGTGAAGGATTTGGTCATATTGCGCAGTTATTGTCTGAGTCCAACCATTATAGGGTTTAGTCTTTTAATCTAAGATTATTTAAGTTGTGTTGCATGTGATTGTACTCATGAAGTAGTTAACTGGCACTAATGGGGGTCTTTCGGCAGCTGATGGCAGGGTGAGGTGGGGATCCTAAGAGAGCCTAGGAAGTGATTTAGTGTGGTTGCTATGCTATTTAGCGAGTGTTGAGAGTATTATTATGAGTAGGTGATTTAGAGGACTCAGGATGCTTCTTGAGGAAAGTATGGATATGTGTGAAAGGTAGTATTGGGCTACAGAAAGCACATGGTCCATAATCGAATCAAGGGAAGTCACGAGGATCCTAAGGAACTGGTTGATGGTAGATAGCACGATTTGATAACCATGATTCATGGTAGTGTTTCTATAATATCCTGTTTCTCGTCATTTCTTATTTCAGGGTCGTGGGACGGAAGTCGATTTTGTAAAGGCTTTGGGCCTTAAGGAGGTAAATATTAGACCTTGTGGAAGGAGGTAATATTAGTTAAGAGATTTAACCCTTGAATTGTGCTTTGGTTCGAAGGGTAGAAAGGGAAAAGTCATAGGCTCTTGCATGAAATATGGATTTTTGTTTGAGAAGTTTTTAGTCCAGGGTATTTAGATAATATTGTAGAGCTTTTCAACACCTTTCCGTGGATATAAAGAACATAAAAAACGGAGTTGGAACGAAGAAGTTACGACCATTTGAAGTTATGACGATTTTTGGGTTAGCCGCGTACGTTGGGCGTACAGAGAGTACGCTAGGCATACGTGATCAGTGCCTAAACCCAATTTTTGTGGTTTGAGCCCTATTTAAGCTCCTTAACTTCCCTAAACCCATTCCATTCCCAGCCTCCACCTCTCCAACACCCTCTCTTGAAACCCTAACCCTAGTTTGAGCCTTGTGAGCAAAAAGAAGGTGTTTTTAAGTTCTTTGGAGTGTTCTTGCTGCACCTTGGAGAAGAAGGAACTCATTGAAGACGAGTTGGTTGCATTTCAGCTTGTAGATCCAGACCTTTTTCACCTTGATCTTTCTTATAGAGGTATAAAGTTTGAAATCTTGATGATGAAATTGTTAGATCTAGCTAGTTTTGGGTGTTATGAGCTTTTGGTCACTTTAAGTGCATAAAGTTTAGATCTTGAAAGTTTGTGACCTTTTTATGGATAAAGTTGGAAACTTTATCTATCTAAACATCATATTGATTCATATCTGAAGGTTGAAGACTTGGACTTAATGGATTAAGTTGAAAAAGATGCACTTTCGGTCCCTTTGAGACTTAAAGACTAGATCTTGTTTGTTGGGACCCTTCTAATGGATAAATTTGGAAACTTTATCCCTTATGGAGCTATTAGGAACCATAAAAATGTGATCTTGGTCCTTCTATCCCTTCCATGCAAGAGTTGTGATGTCTTAATGGATTAATAAGTTAGGGTTTTAGCTTTTGGACCTTCCCTAGCCATGGAAAGTCATAAAGGTGGAAAATTTATGACTTAAGACAATATTTTGAGGCTATATATGAGTTTGGGTGAAAAGTACTTAATGGATTAAGTGCTTAATGAAGGAGTGGGATGAGGCTGCGTACGCTGGGCGTACTCAACTGCCTCAGACTTTGACTTTTGTTGACTTCCGTTGATCGTTGAATTTTTGACCAAGTTTGGGTCAAACTTGAGGATTTTGGGCTATTGATTAAGATTTTATCTGGTTATGGTGTTAATGGATTCGCGGGAGCAAGAATTGTAGAAGGGAGCATATCGCAGTCTTTCATGGTTCTTCGATTCATGTGAGTTTCGCCTCACTGTACCCGTGGGTCGAATGCACCAATGCCAACCCACTAGTTTTGGTTATATTTAGTAGAAGGATGACATAGGGACTGTATATAGTCAGGTAGGATAGACTGAGGACTCTTGATCTAGGTTCTTTTACATGTTCCTTGTTTGGTTGTGGTTCCAGAGTAGGATCACCTATCCGGGTGTCTATTTCACCTCTGAGTATATATGGTTATGTATTCCTTGTATTTTTGGTATTTAGTATGTTGCTATGCTGTAGTGACCTGTAGATCTATATCCTAGTAGTTGGTATGTTGTTATGCTGTAGTGACCTGTTAGATATGTATCCTGGTAGTTGGTATGTTGCTATGTTGTAGTGATCTGTTAGATCTGTATCCTGGTATTTAGGATGTTGCTATGCAGTAGTGATCTATAGATCTGTATGTTTACATGTAATTGCTGGTTATCATCTAGTGGAGCGCCCTAGGGACTGTATGTGGTCATGTAGGATAGCCTGAGAACTCTTGATCCAGGCTTTCTTGTTGTTCCTTGTTTGGTTGTGGCTCTAGAGTAGGATCATCTGTTCGGGTAGCTATCTCACCTCTGGTTACTTATGGTTACACATTTCATGAGGATAGTTGGTAGCGGGGGAGTGTGCAGTGTGAGGACTAGTAGGCGATAGTGAGTTGTATGATATTTGTTTGCCTATATTATGCGCCTAATTGATCCTGATTGTT